CACAACGCTGCTCCGAACTTCTGAGATAAGGTGCTTGTTTTGGGGACGGTTACAAGCCCCACGGATTATCGCCGAGGAACAAAATGGCTGCTGGTTTGTCGGCGAGTGGTACTACAAAGGGTGGCATCACCCTAGCAAAGCGCACATGAAGGCTCCCTAGAATTTACTATCGGTACTTAATACCGACAGCCGTTCTCATTTGCTGAAATGCTCGGCCAAGTCACACTGGTCGTATACATAATACGAAATACGCGGTGCTCGCTGTAGGCACGATGACAAACTTCTCTACTTTCACGCTTCAAGCACGTTCGAAGTACCTTTGATTCGTACAGTATGCTTTGAACCTCTCTCCAGGCAGTAATTGTATGACCACTCTGGCAGGAACAAGCATCCTATATATTACCCCTCCCCAGCCAATGAGAGTGCAGTATTCGCGATTGCGCTTTCTGATTGGTTGCTGAGCGATTATAGGGTGCTCGGAACTCGCCATGCTGGGCGTTTCGTTAAGCTGTCTAGTGCTTATTGGGGAGGATGGATAAATGGATGGATGAGACTGAGCCCTTTCAATCGGGCGGCAACTTGCGCCACCTAGCGAGTTTCTTTTTTCCCATGAATGGATGGATGGATGAATACGGCTGAGCCCTTTGCATCGGGCGGTAGCTTACGCCACCTAGCCATTTTGTTTTACCATTTAAGCTTAGAATATTCAACCGCTGCGCCCCAAGCGGATAACTTCGGAACTGCACCTACGGACACTAAAGCACCTTTTGGTTAGCCACACCATCCTGCACGAACAATGCATCACGCACCCTGCATGTGACCATGGGCCCAAATCAAGGTACTTGGCAAAAAAAGTCGGCGAGAAATTCGGCGGCTCTGATTGGTCGGCGCTAAGGTCAGGCGCTGCGCCGGCCAATCACCAACGCCGGATTTCTCGCCGACTTCTTCGCCAAGTGTCCAGATTAGGGCCCTAGTACCTGCAAAGCGGTAAAGGCTGAAGTGGGTCAATCTCGTTGGCTGCTTTTGGAAAAGATCCGGCTTGTCGCGTCTCGCCAACGTCACGCCGTTTATTGTCAACACTTTTTTACATTGCGTAAAGAATCAAGTCTACAGGCCTTGTGTTAGGGTTAGGCAGACACCGAGATTTGGGGAAAACAAACTGGAAAGAGCGCACCCTATATTTCGATTTCATCGCCAATACCATCCCGTGGATGATATTGTCAAACATCGGGCTATGCCGGATTCTTTTTCTCCTAGAAGCGGACTTGACGTTCGCCTTTAGGGGTCTTCTGCAAGCCACGCCAAGGCGCGACCTGGTCGAGGAATCAATAAACTTCTGTACTATAGTCACAGTTAGGTTAAAGAGGTACCCCGGCCCGATTTGTCTGAAAGCGCGCTAAACACACCAACAAACATCGCTGAAATAGCATCCCCAATAGTTGCTCAAAATATGTTTTTTTTTTTGCCAAGTTATTTAATTTACAATTTCGGTCCTTACCGTGTTTCTCAAGCAGTAACTATTATGAATTCCGCGATACTAAATAGCATGCTGGAAAGGGAAAAGGCCGATGGTTCCGAAAATGTAGTTACTTGGGGTAGCTCGAAAAAATCGCCAATGACGCGCTCTCATCGGTTGCGAAACAGAATTAATATGTTTGGAACTCAACATGCCCGGTGTTTCTTACGCTGTCGGTCACAGAAGACAGCAAGCACATTGCATTGAGCCCAGTCCTTGCATGTGACCCCTGACGAAAGTTTAATATCAAGTACAACATACGAGGGTTACTTAGAATGTGATGAGCCTCGTTTGTTTTCTCTAAAAAAATATTCATTCGCAATGAATAAATGCAAGCAGATTATACTGCATGCTTCCCGTGCATACGCTATCTTCTTACACAAGCTTGGCCCAACTCTACGGCATTGGGCCAGCGTAAAAGGTAAATTTTGCCTACCCTGTACCAGCTCGTTCTCTGCTCACATAGCCGTGTCCACACTACAGAAATAAGGCTCTCGTCGATTTTTTTTTTTAAACCTTGTACCGAACAGTTAGTGTTTTAGTGCCCCAAAAATATGAAAAGCTTACGCTGTCAAGTTAAGACTATACGAGGAAAGGGGGGGGGGGGGGTGCAAGTATACGATTCAACAAAAGTTGGTGGTTACCTCTCGAGTTTTGAGACCGGTCTGGAGTCTGCTGAATCAAAATGTCTCCCTAAGTCATGTAAAGTCGCGGGCACACGTTCAGAGATATATTCACGAAACATCAACGCCGCAACCTGTATATTCTTTATATTACACTCTCTTAATTTGCGGATGAGAAAAAACAAAAACTAGGGCTTCACTTTTTGAGAAATCCTCGAATAGTAATAGCAACGACGAGCGCGGTACGTATCAAATCTCAGCTCCTACATCACACAAAAGGCCAGCGCTTGCAGCAGATACGAGTACAGAATTACTTGCACAATTATTTGCCCAATGCGAGAGGACGTTCATACATAGAAGAAACCTTCCCCGGTCAGTGTGTGTAGAATGTTTTTTTTTTTTAGACTCACCACGTCAGATGCGTCCATCGCTTGCTCCCGGTGCTTTTTCGTTCTACCGATCAGCTCTCTTTTGCCGGCGGATGCAGCACGAACGCGCTTCTCCCTCTACTGCGGGCACATGTTTATTTGTCGCAAAACCGTACATCCTTTTTTACTTTTAGTTTTTGCTTGACGCACAGTTCTCGCTCTCAGTAGAGGCGCTTTGTGTAGAGAGCACTCGCAACATCGGTTCAGTGCTCCAGGTGTACACCGGAATATTTTGTTGGGGCAACAGAAACAAAATAAGGACGCGTGTTTAACGTACCGGGTGTTCGGGAGTAAAGAGGACCGAGTCGCCCCCGCTCTCAATATTCGTTCAAATGTACGGCTGATGGTTGGGACTTGGGCCGGATTGCTAGTATCAGCGTCTTCTTAGACTGTTTGAAAACAAGCCTGCCGAACCAACCCTCCTGCGATTCAAAAGTCATAAAAACAAAACAAAAAAGTCTGCTACCGTTTTAACTAGCAGAGCTCATTCATCTGCATGAATTCGAGGACATTGCTGGTAGCTATTTTTTTTTTTATTAAAACAAGTATCGAAAATATTTTATAACTTTTGAATAAGATCACCGTAAGTTCTTAAAATTTGGCATCTGCTCCCAGTTGCTAGAGTTACATTTGAAAGGGAGCAGAGCATTCGACAGTGCATAGTTTATTTTAAAAAAAATAGTCGTTCTTTTTTCAATTAACTTTTTAAATTATTGGTTATTTCGTGTCCGCTACAATAACGCTTCGCAGGTATGAAACACCACCCTCCTTGAGCTTCGGAGATAGTACCTCCGATAGCCCATCCAGTGTGTTCGACGAGCGAGAGTTTTTCAAATTTCAAAATTTCAAAATTTCAAAATTTCAAATTTTCAAATTTTCAAATTTTCAAATTTCAAATTTCAAATTTCAAATTTCAAATTTCAAATTTCAAATTTCAAATTTCAAATTCAAATTTCAAATTCTTTATTGATCCCTGAAACAGAGAAAGGAGGCAGAGAAAAAAGCAACTGACACGCTGCTTGACTAGCCTCTGCCCCCCATAAAAGCCCAGGGAAGAACAAACATAAACGTAAAGACACTAATAAACTATAAAGCCCCAAAAAGAGCAGCGGGCAGCCATTTTGAGCTTGCCCGGACACCGGTGAGCAGTGCACACACGTGTGATTATGAAGAAACAGCAAAAACACCTTTCTGTACACCATTTCCCTTTAAGTACGACCAGAGCTGATGCCACAACCTGACGGAGCCAATCGGGCAGCGCCAAAGGTGTGACGTCACGGCGCTCGTCGTGGTTCTGGGTTCGCTGTCCCCGGCTAGGCCAATCACGCATAAAAAATAAAAAGGCGCCGGCTCACGGCGCATTTACCGTTCGTGATTGCTCTAGTAGGTAATTATAAAACGCTCCATCGGATGACGTATAGCGTCGGCTGCGCCGAGACTTTAAGTGAGACGTAGTGTTGTAGATTGTATTCTAAATACTTTAACGTATACTAATAAACATGTCATGCGAAGTGGAAAAAAAAAAGAAAACTGTAGGATATTTCACGACGACAGCTGTTAGCGGCCCGTTCCCCGGTTTTTCGATGGCGTGACCGTAACCGCCGTCAGTTTTCCCGCTAATTATTTAGCGGAAAAACTTACGTCACATTTCCTACGCACCAATTCAGTTTTTGAGCTGAATTCGGAAGGAGAATTGATGTCCCGTGACCTGACGTGACAGAACCTAGGGACAAATTCAAGTTCCCCGCTAAATTTAGCGGAAAAATTGACGTCGCGTGATTTCTGCGCCAGTTCAGCTTCCCCGCTAAATTTGGAGAAAATATTGACGTAAAGTGACCTATGCACCAAATCAGTTTGCCCGCTAAGTTTGGCGGGAAAATTAACGTCAGATGACCTGACTTCACGGGACCTATGAACAAGTTAAGGTTCACCCCTAAATTTAGCGGAAATATTGACGTCACGTGAACTCTCCACCAATTCAGTTTCCCCGCTAAATGTTTCAGGGAACACCCATCACGACCTTAATATCATTTATTCATCAACAACCTATCAACGCTAAATCAACGCAACGTCGTTTCAATATCAAGTCACCCTATGATGCACGATCGGCGCAATGTCAATGAATCGTCAACTTCATTATGTCGAATAAGCAACACAGCTGTCGCTGTCTAAACGCATCACGTAGTGTGATCGTCGCGCCATTTTTTTTTTTTCAAAAACAGTTAGTGTGAAATACAAGGACAAGTAAAAGACTGAACAGGACAAGCGCCTTTTTTATCTAAGTATATGGAAGTGCGTTTGAATGCAAGCATAAATAATTTTCTTCGGCTACGATTAGATACGGAGTGGTGGAACGTTCGTCGTGGGTGTCGTCTGGTGTTTTGTTACCCGTCCTTCTTGCCGATAAAGCTCTCCCCCTCCCCTCCCGGAGATAGTTGCACCCTCGCCAGTCAGGCATGCCGAGACTCCTAAGAAACCCCCAAGAGATAGTTTTTCACGACTGCCTGACGTATTTTTTTCTGCAGGGACGCCAGAGTCCCCATGCTGTGATCGATCCATGGGAGATCCAACGGTGAGGTGTCCCGCTCCCGGAAGATGAACGTGCTTCGGTTCATACTGTTGCTTCTCCTGGGCCCCCACACTGCGCTGGCGCTGCCCTGTAGTTGCGCTCAGCTATCGGACAAAGTGGGCCAAATCCGCGACGAACTGGAGAACCTTCGCGAGGACGTTAAGGTGCTCAGCCGCAAGGTCAGCGTGAACGTGGGCCTGAGGCACGATGTGGAGGATCTCAAGATGTCCGGCATGGCGAGGACCGAACAGATGACCAAACTCACAGCCGACGTTCGGGAACTCCAGAAGCGGGACCAGAACACGGTGTCCAACCTGATCCAGGTGGTTCCCGGCAGCACAATGGATGACCTGGTTACTATGGTTAAGCGACTTGCTGCCCAGGTTTCGGAGATGAGGGAGGAGAGGACCTCGTGGCTGAGCAGTCTCTCCAAGATTAAGGAAGAGAACGCCGAAAATAGCAAGTCAAAGATAAGCTTATTTAGCGCTCTGGACGACGTCAGATCCGAGCTCGCACACTTCCAGGCCAAGGTCGCTGGGATTTCGGAGGTTTCGCAGCGCCTGGATGCGCTGGAAAGCACGGTAAGCGTGGATGACTCAATCTTTGTGGAACTGAGTGCCCCCGGGCCAAAGTCTACGTCAGATGATGCGAAGGGCGTGACTCAGATTGAATTCATTGGTGCTGATGGTAACTTTACGGTTAACATAAACGACTCCGGCCACTACGGCTGCCTGGAGCACATCAATGCTACAGACGGTTCGTCTTCTCGCGAGTGCTCCGACTTTCGAAACACCACCGGCGAGCAAGATGAAGCAGGTGGACGCAGTGCGCGAACCTTGCGCGGAGAGGAACGAACTTCGTTCAATCGCGTCTTGCATCTCCTGGTCGGAAAGGTGAAAGACGTTCACGAGAACGTTACGCAGCTCAACCTGACTCATCGCCTGAGAAGTCTAGAAGACGCTGCCCAAGAAGTGAATCGTCGCCTCACCACGCATCATGACGGAGTTATGTCTGACATTGACGATGTTCGGAATAGGGTTCAAGAGCTAGGGTTCGAAGTGCGAAACTTAACCGAGGAGGTCATCATCTTGCGTCAGCCACAAGAGGCTAATGGGGAATGGTTGCAGCAACTTACAACTAATCACAGCGAAATCAGGTTCCTGCTAGACCATGCGTTATCGAAGCTTGGATCTGTGGAGAACTTTATCGAACATCTGACAACCGAAAACAACGCAACCCTTCTGGCACTTCAAGCCTTAACCGGAAGCTTGGGAACAGTGTCGAAGCGCGTAGAGATTCTGAACACGTCGGTGGAAGACAACTTAAAAGAACGCTTAAGCGACGAGAAACTACGGAGTTTGAGAAATACGCTGGATTCGAAGATGTCGGCCCTTAATAACACGGTGGATTCGTCTTTGAATCTGATGAATCGAACGATCAAAAAGAACGTCGAGACGCTGAAAGAGCGAATGGATGCCTTACAAGGCGCGTTAGCCGAAGAGGAAGAAAAGCTCAAGACGGTGATGTTGAACCTGAGTCAAGCTTCGGACATGAGAATGACTCTCCATGGGTGGCATCCGAGTAAGCATTCAAAAACTCTAAAACCTCTTTGTAGTGTTACCTTGCTTTATCTGGAGTGTTTAATTGTGCTTTGGCTGAGGTGTCACGTCTGTGCAATTTGTACGTTTTCATGTTCTTGTTTAAAAAAACAAAACAAAAAAACAAGAACAACACTAGATGAATAGTCACATGGCACGATGCTCTTTACCTAGCTTCTATGCCTCTTACATGCACCTGTAGCATCGTGTCAGGAGTAGAAAAAGAAAAGTGTCATTCCAGAGACGATCCTACGTTAAGGAAGTTCGTGACACAAGATTCCATCATGCACTTGCAACTAGGATCAAATGTAAATATGAAAATACTTGAAGTAAGTCATGAAACCATAATACATCTACATAGTTTCATTCGTTCCTGGGTTCAAGTTCACGATGAAATCTCCTCAGTCATCGAAGACAAGCTAGTGCATGATGAATCCTGGTTTGAAGTGCATGCATAGGATCGAGTCACGAGCTTCCTTCCCATCAGTCAAGCTTTTCCCCTTATACTCCTGACATGTTCCTGCAAACTCTTCAAGTGCTTTATATCTGGTAAGTTTATATGATAAGTCATCAAAATTACTAAGGTTTTAAACCTTAGTGGTAGTTGGCTGCTAACTGCCGCTAGTGTTCTAAATTTGTTTTTTCGGACTGGTGTTTGGTCATTGTGTCTTGCCTTTCACAGTTTAAGTTTAAGCCGCACATATAATAAGAGCGGGTAAAAACTATAGTCGTACACAGGTAGACCACTCTAATCAATGGAAGATTTATGTTTGCGTTTTTGCGAAACAATATCCAGTCACAAACCAAGTACGCAATCTGCTACCGACCTCTCTGCAGACGACAGCACGCCATGCCCTGGTTTGCTGTTCCTGGGTCGTGACGTCAACCTCGTCCTCACGACCGACGCCGGCACGTTCCGATCTCCCCAACTTTCCTCGGAGCCACTTCCAGTTGGAAGCGTTGTGCACTTCCGCTGTGCTCATGCCGGGACGTTCCGGCTCGAGGGCGCTGAAACCATACGGTGCTTAGCTGGTAGGTGGTCCAACAGGCCCCCTCACTGCCAACCGTTGACGACGCTTCAAGAGCTTAGAGGTGAGGAGACTTCGATGGTTCTGAACTATAGGCCTGTATACGTCAGGACGTGCTAACTTTTTTCGGTAATAAGTTACCTAGTGAAAACAACTTAGTCACTTTTTAAAAGTAGAAACGATATCTGCGTTACTTTTTGAAGAAGTAATGAGTAACAATATTTATATCCTACTGGTGGAAAACTTGTACAAAACAAGAACCCAACCTAGTTGTCATCCCAGCTCGCGCTTGTAATTCAAACGAGAATAAAAGGCTACATATACCATAAAAAGATGTGCACAAGGTATGTCAGTACCGCCACAGTTATCCTTGGATGAACGTGTAAAAATTAAAAAAAAAGGTGATAGTGGCAATGAATATCGAATGCGGCTACTGCTTTATAAAAACGACACATTTAAAGTAACGAGAAAATAAAGCGTTACTTTTAAGCTAAGGTGAGACGTTCCTTTTGAATGTCTGTAATGAGTAACGTATTTATTTCTTGAGTAAGAGTAAAGGTGTTTAGTAATTTCTTTTTGTACATGTCGGGTTTTGAAGTATTGACTTGCTGGTCGTTGTTTACGGTGCTTCAGACATTTATGCTCGAGTGTGACCGAGAAACCGCGCTCTTCGTGCTTCAGCAGCTGATGTTCGTTTCCAAACGTAAAAAGATAGTTCCACAAAGAAGGAGTCATGTTTCACGCGTGTTACCGCTGAAAAACAGCTTCGACTCAAAACTCAATTTGACTAAAATGTGACGTCACAATATCTAGATCTTTCGATGACCTGCAGTGCTTGGGGCATTCACCAGCTCAGTGGCTCATCCTCGCAACCTGACCCAATGACCTCACCATCTCGGCAATATTGGTGCGATTTTGTGCGATTTCAGATTACACCAGCATTGCCGAGGCGTAATTCGCCAGGCGGAATTTAAAATATGATTGATTCGACGGACAATCGGTATGGTCATCGGAAGTCAATAAAAACAGGAAAGTCAGTGATGGCTTATGAAACACAGGAAGTGCTATATTATTTTTTTTTAGTCGTCAGAAACGAATATATTTTCACTGCTGTCACCGGAGATCACACGACTTCAACCAAACAACGTTATTTCGTTCTAGCGAACAATGGTACGGATAATTTTCCGTCCATAACTTACGAGACGGAGGACGACGCTGGATACATGACTGACGAGAGTGGAAGACTCGTGTTCGCGCCGGGTGCCACCATAGCCCTCACCTGCCTGTACCCCCGGTCCAAGGGTCAAGTCAGCTGGTTGCATAACGGGACCGTGCCCAAGGACGCCACGTCGGCGTGGCTCGCAGGCCCGGACGGAAACTACGCTTACAGACTGAGCGTGCACAATGCTTCGGTCGCACACTCGGGAGTCTACGCCTGCGTGGACCCGGGAGGAAAGAAGCACCACGTTCATGTCAGAGTTCAAGGTAAGTGGAATCAATGAGCACGACGAATTCGGTTCGAACCTAAGACATAAAAAAAGAAATTACACTCTTTACAAGTTTAATGCCTTCACTTGTTTGTATACATCTCTTAGAGTTAAATTGCGGCATATCATTGGAGTTACGTGAATGATGAGGTTGCTAAAAACCGCTTCTACCGGGAAAGCCAAAATGCCTGTGGGCAGAGACTGTTCATGATGTTTGATAAGGTTACGCAATGCTCTGTATGGCATCGAAATCTTAATTCTTGATCGAAACGTCTATTTTGCCTCGCCGTTCGCCAAGCTCTTCTTCTTGATAGCGCGAGGAATTGAATTTTTTATTGAAGACGAAACAAATACAGACACTTTTAGAAAACGACAATTCAATAACTTTCTGAAAAAAATTGTAGCGTCTGCTTTCCCGCGAAGCACGTAGAGGAGCCGGCAGCTGCAATCCACGGGGTAGCAGTCGGCACAATGTCACTAAGTAGGGTAAAACGTCATGTTTTTGTGCCACAGCACAGACTGTTTACTTTTTAGTCTAAACATGTTTTCAGCTTCGTCATCCGCCGAGCATCCGCCAAAAATTGATAAAAAAAGGCTCTCCCAAGTTCTTGTTTTGCGCCAGATTAGGTTTGTCAGATTTCCCTCGAGTGAGTTTATTGTAAAATCTACCGATTGTTCAACTGTAAACTGTCAACCGATTGTTCAACTGTCAATTGTAAAATCTACCGATTCACGAAAACAACTATCAGAGCCGGGATAACACCATCATGTTTCGTTTTTATTGGGGTCCTTGGACCTGGGTACGAGAAACATCTATTTCAATTGTTGCTAAATTTTCTACTAGAATGAACGCATGTTGAAGTACATCAACTTTTAAAGATAGAGCGCGTGCAGTTGTAGGCTTGTCAAAGATGCCTATACTCCTATTTCACAAACGACTGCAGTAAAAACAAAGGCTCAGGCGCCAAGCTCGGAAGAATGGTTTTGTTTGTACCAGAACCCGTACGTGGGACTTTCCAAAGCCACGCGCTCGTGACAAGGCCTGCACGGCAGATGTTTGTGACATGGAGTATACGCACAGAGGCTGCACCTGCTTGCCGACATGGAGAAGGTGACAGCTGGCAGAGCTTTTTAATTTATTGGCTTGGTTAAAAATGCCATATTCAACGTTTGAATGTAGTAAACGTTTAAAATAAACGATGATATAATTGAAGAGCCCGAAAAGATAGCCGCCAGTTTTAATGAACATTTTAAATCTGTTATTACTAGCGATGATGGACGGCTGCCAATTACACTGTTGATTAGGCTCTGTCAGAATTGTATAACCTTATTTTAACTGAAGAAGGCATCCTTAATCTTCTTCTTAACGTCGATCCTAGAAAAGTCAATGGGGCCAGATTTGATTCCAAATGCTTTTCTGGTACGTTACTCTAAGCTGGTGGCTAAGTACTTTTGATAATATTCCGAAAATCATTACAATGAAGCGCTAGAATGAAAAGGAGCTAAAATTATACCTGTTTTCGAATTGGGCGACAAAAAGAAATGTTGCAAACTATAGGCCCATTTCCATAACAAGTCAGTGTTGTAAACTGTTAAAACATATGATTTCTAGACAGATTTCCGATTACGTTGGAAAGGTAAATATCTTAGCGGCGAGTCAGCAGGGATTTAGAAGAGGCCTGTCTACCGTAACCCAGTTGATAGAAATAATGCACGATCTTGGTAAGGTAATGAATAGCAAAAGTCAGGCAGATGTTGTATTTCTGGGTTTTAGTAAAGCCTTCGATAAAGTTCCTCACAACAAGCTTCTTCTAAAACTGAATACCACATCTAACTCAAATAAATTAGTGAGATGGTTACCCTCATACCTAGAAGGAAGAGAACAGTACGTTTGTTTGAAAGGTTATGAATCTGATTCCCTCCCCGTTGACTCCGGCTGTGCCCCAGGGCTCTGTCTTGGGGCCCTTACTTTTCCTATTATATATCAACGATATCACTAAAAACGTAGATGTCAACATAAGATTATTCGCAGACGATTGCATTTTATACAAAGAAGTTAAATCCTATCAAGACCAAATAGTTTTAAATAATTGCTTAGAGAGGATACAGTCTTGGTGTCGGGAATGGCAAATGAAGCTGAACACCTCAAAAAATGTTTCAATGTCCATTACGCGAAAAAAGTGTCCTCTGGATTTTTATTAATGCATTGATGGTCAACCTATTTAACGTGTCGAAGAATTTAAGTACTTAGGGTTATATTATAGTAATAAACTATTATGGGACAAACACATTGACTACATTACAACAAAAGCGACCCAGCGGCTTTGGGCCTTGAAACGTCTCTTGAAGCACTCTTCCCCCAGCACGAAACTTAGTCTATAAAACGATATTAAGGCTAATCTTGGAATATGGAAATGTTGTCTATGACCCATTCACTAAAATTAATATTATTAAGCTAGAAGGTGTACAAAGGAAAGCAATATGGTTTGTTTACAACAAATATGAAACGCGAAGCTCCCCTTCAGAAATGTTGCAACATTAAGCTAACCTGCTAACATTAAGCGAAAGAGCGCGGATAAATAGATTAAAGATGCTATTTTTAATGATTCAGGGTAAATTAAATATCGACAATTCCAGATATATTATATTCTCAGGCAGGTTAAACACCCGATCATCTCATGCACGTTCAATACTGGACTACCAAGTGCGATTGGACACCTTCAAATACTCCTTTTTCCCTAGGATCATTGTTGAATGAAACAAGCTGCCCGCTAATGTTGCCAATTCAGACTCTGTTGATTATTTTATCAATAAAGCAACTGTCTTTTTTTCAATATAGATTGAAATTAATTTTCCCCATGTTTACATGACTTGTTAATAGTTATTGTTTTGTATACTCTATATACAGGGTGTCACAAAAGAAAATTTACACGGTCTTTTTCACCACAAAAATGAACTAGGCATCGCCGAACGCTGATTCTCCGCCCAAAGGTAGAGCTAGAGGTCACAACCAGATGCCAAAGTTTCAGCCCAAACCTATAACTCAATCAAAAGTTATAAGTAATTTTCTGAAAATGTCAATGGGAAAATGGAGCCCATTTTCGCCCGTTTTCGGTTTCTGGTGCCATAGAGCCCCATGCGTTTGAAAACGCAGTCGGCCGCCATTTTCCCATTGAAAATTTCAGAAAATCACTTATAACTTTTGATTAAGTTATCGGATCGGGCTGAAACTTTGGCATCTGGTTGTGACCTCTAGCTCTACCTTTTTGCGGAGAATGAGCATTCGGCGACGCCTAGTTTATTTTTGCGGTAAAAAAACACCGTGTAAATTTTCATTTGTGACACCCTTTATATTGCATAATGTTTTAAGCCTCATTTCTGCACGCTGATGTGACCAATTCAGATTCGGTCTTATTAATATTTATTGTTTTGTATGACGGGTGCTATTTATATTTATATTGTATAATGTTTTGGGCCACAGTATCCCTGGCGTTCAATTGTAGTCTTCTTATTATTTGTATTTTTCTGCCTCTCCTACCACGGCTCTTTGGGCCAGGTAGTATTGATAAACAAAAATAAAACAGCTGGGAATGAAAGCGCATCATACATAATCCCACTTCAATTTTGGAAATATACCTTCCCTGTATTCTTTTCTATTATCGAATCTGAAATGAGCACAAGTCCCTCGTGAACCTTACAGCGTTTAGAAGCATCCAGTTCCTGATGAGCATGAAATCGCGTATGTCCAGAAGTCGTCTGCGAAGAACTGGAAGCCCCTCCAGGCGCAGCAATGGACGTCAGCCACACCGGGCCGATGACCATGGGAACCGTGGTTCGCTTTTGGTGTCCGCTGGGCCACAGACTCGACGGTGAAGCTGAGCTCTCCTGCTCAGCGTCCGGAAAGTGGTCTGCCCCCGTTCCAAGCTGCCCCGAAATAGGTGCTACCATTTGAACGCGGCTATGCATGACCTGCACGTGACAACGTCCCACCATTCTGGTGGTCATTCTGACTTGTTTTTTTTTTTGCTGAAGAGAACGGATTCGGTGCTACGAATTGCATGGTGCAGCACTGAGCAGCGAGACCACCACAATGGCTACTAGTATGACGTCAGTGAAAAAAAATGTATTCATAGTATGAGTCTTTGAAGTAGCTTCATGGGGCAGACTAGAAGCCCACCATTCAGTATATACCGGTATCCATGTACAGTATCTCAAATTTAGTGTTTATATAAACCCTTGTTTGCCTTGGAACTTCTGTTTTATTAGTCTCTGTAGGAAACACAAAGAAACAGGCACAACAAGCACCTTTATCGAAAGCCATCGGTGAAATCCAAACAAAGGAAGAAACTAGACGTTCGCGTTTATGCGGCGTAAGCTCAGCCGGCCTTTGAGGTGCAGTGATACTGTTTTACTCTGATGATAAGAAACTTTGCCAGTACAGTACGATTTATAGCCTGGTATCGTTATAGTGCATAACGCAATAGTGATACACAGCCGCACACCGATACGATGCTCACCCAGATCGAAACGGGTGGGGGTGGTGATTAAAGCCAGGATCCCTGGGTTTTGCAGAAAATTGAGCTGCGCTCCACGTGCTCATGGCAGTGGCTCGCTAACACATTGGGCCATTGATCCCTCTTAGTTGTTGTTTTTTTTTTTTTCAGTGACGCAGTAATGTAGTTGTTACATTTTTAGAGCGCAGCTCTTAGGCGCCCGTTTCCGGCTTGAGCGGCTTCGCCGTCGGCGTAACCGCGCGGTGCATTATGGGAAATGTCCCATACTGCACCGCGCGGGACCCTCGTTACAACGAAGGTCCTGTGCGGTGGTGCATTATGGGACATTTCCCATGATGCAACGCGCGGGAAGGAGGAGTGGGAGGAGGAAGGAGGAGGAGAGGAGGGGAGGGAAGCATCTTGAGAGATGAGGGGAGGTGGGAGAAAAACGAGGAGGAGAAAGAGGAGGGAGGAGGAGTATCAGAGATAATGAGGAGGAGGGTTATACCCTCCCCTCAGTACCCTTCCCTCCTCCTCCTCTAGAGCTGCGCTCTAATTCGGCGTTACAGGGTGTTGTAAACGTCTTTCGTTTTTTTAAATGACAACGAGTAAAGCACTTTCGTTATTACTTTACGGTATGGACTATCAAATTAGCTCACTCGTTACATTTGATTAATGTTGTTTTCAGCATAGGTTAAAAGCGAATTAATTTGCGTTTTGCATATTTTGCCGATAATGGGTGATATTATATTTGCTCCACCGCGAATTCATTTCCCCAATATGATTATAAAAAAAGTTTCGTACAAATTTGATTCAAAATACAGTAAACACTAATAAATCACTCTGTGAAACTTTAATTGTCGAAGTTCGTATTCGAGGCTTATCGCCGCCAAATGCTACTCAAATCTAAAGTAACGGCAAAGTAACGTTCTTTAGATTTTTAAAAGGAAGGGTAACGCATTTCGTTACTTCTGCTGGAATGTAGCGGATTTCAGTAACGCGTTAATTTTTGGAGAACTTACGAGTAAGGCCACTTCGTTACTTATTTTCGGTAACGGGCCCAACAACACCGGCTGAAAGCCCACCTTTGCTCTGGCGTCAAGACTGACCTGGTACTCACGACGCGGCTATCGACAAGGGTGCTCGTCGTATCGGTTTCAAGCCAGGCTTCAGAGAGTTTGCATCTGATCCTTGTTGATGGTATATTTTCCAGAAGATTTCTCTCCTCCCTGGAATGCGTGCAGCAAGCCAGCAGTGCCGGGCCCTTTGAGCATTTCACCGGACCACAAATGGTACAAGGAAGGGGATCGTATTCAGTACAGGTGCCACGGCGGCGGCATGCTCATTGGCAAGGCCAGCTCATTCTGTCTTCAAGGTCGCTGGATCGGGAATACGCCAAGCTGCCTTTGACGCGTTTCAAGGGCAGTCTTCAACAGGCGCTCGAGAGAGAAAGAAGGTGGGAAATAACTATAAAGCAAGAGAGAGAGGGAGAGCAACACATTTAAGCAAACAGTCTAAGTAAAACCGGTTGCCAAATTTCCTTCGTATTTTATATAGCTCCCACGTCATATTGGAAATTTTAATTGGTATTCACTTCGAGTGAAGAGGTTGCATTTGATATTGCCTAAACAGAGGAAATAAAGCTGAATCTCAAACGGGCCTTCTCTTTATATGCCTCAAATGACAACAAAAGTAGCAATAGCCACAAAAATATATATATGATTTTCCAAATAAACATATCAAAACATTTTGTTTGATCGTTATTGTCAACCGCATTATATCATTAGTTATAAAGGGATGTGTGAACTCGTGAAGTTAGACTCGTTGCACAACAGGAGAACAATTCGCGACTGACATATTTGTGTAGGATTGTAAATGGCATTCGCAACTCCAGCGCGCCGCTCGCCCTCCCGCGGACGAACGGAGAACCACACTGTGAGCAAAAATAACACGCCCAGACGTGTAAACCGTTGTCCCATAGCGGACACGTCGAAACGTGTTCGTTTTACACGAGGCCATCTGTGTTTTTCGTCTACACATGAGGTGCTGTGTAAACTTAACACGCTACACCGTGTCTGCCTTCCGCAAAACCGTTTCGAGCGTGTTCCTTATGAAACATGGCGGCCAGCGGCCGAGAACAGGCGAGAGACGAGCCCTGCGAGCCGCGCGCCTTTCAGCCGAATTGAAAGCACACAGGGCGCGTTAGTTCTCGTTCGATGTCTTTTATACACAGTAAAGTCTCCAAGCGGCGGACGTAGCTACTTGCAAAGGTACGTACGTGTGTTGTCGGCGGTCGGCGGCGTCAATAGCTTCAACGAACCGCTAGACAAAAAAAACAAACAAAAAAAACAAGAAAGAAAAAAAAAAACGAATGCCGAACTCACATGGATAAATAACTTGAGCAAACTATTTAGAATTGGGCGGTAACTTGCGCCACCTATCGAGATTTCTAGCAGCCTGTTTAAAAAAAAAAGACGAGTCTGTTAACACTGTGAACGACCACGGCCACACAGCAACCCTACATGCAGCGCAGGCAACACAGCACACAGCTACACGGCACCGACATATACACAAACACAACAACCGACACAACGCCCGACACTTCCTACTCGATATCCATTTCTCCCCGCGGCGCATATAAGCTTGACATGTGCGGGTGAGCTCTTTGGTCACTGACCATTACAGATTTATAGAAGAATACACAAAACACGGCGCAATGGACAGCCGTGTGTTAGAACTGTTTGCATTTAAAAAGTATGGAGGCAAAATCTATAATGTTAGTCCGTTGCAATAAATAATGATATGTTAAAAATAAATCTTAAACCGGTCATGAAAAAGTTCAAATTTTTGTTATTTTCTTGCTTGACCAGTGTTATGAGCAGTCCGACTAGCATGAATCAGATAGAAAAACAAATTATTGGGATTTTGTCATTACGTATACAATAATAAATGAAAATGATCCTTGCGCAAAGCATTTTTTATATATTTTTGTGAAGGACATTCGGACATCCGCCCAACACTTCACTTCCGCTAGTTGCAGCAGTTGCAGTACGGGAGCAGACGCCTTCACTTTTGGGGCGTTTTGATGCAGTTTGTTGTCGTATGTCGTGTCGGTGTCGAGAAGGGCGGTGGGGCTTGGGAGTTTGTGACCGGTGTTATTCGTGAACACTGGTGTGGGGCGCTCATGCGTCTTTTTTTTATACTGCCACCACCCCGAACTTTGAAGATACACGGGCCTGTAGCAGTGCATTATGCTGAATCGCGAGCTCCTTCTCTGTCGACGTCGCTTTCCTGGTGCCACTCGTGGATACTGCAAGCGTTTAAACAGTGCGCACCGTCTCGCCTACATCCCCGGTGACGTACTCGACCTGTTGAAACTTATTGCTTCTGTCATTTTAGAGTGCGCAAGGCAGTTATCTCGTTGGTCTGGTTTCGGTTATAAAAGCAAGGCAAAACGCTCGTAGTTCCCGCCCTCAGTACACGTTGGACATCTTCCACACTTTGACACCGGATAACTGAATGAACGAGGATTTACATTCACTTCCGAGGTTACTCTCGCCGCTTCCTCACCGTTGAGCAGCAGGATGAGCTGGCGACAAGCCGCGGATGAAAGCCTTGAGCATCAACAGCCCAAGCGCACTCGGTGCCGATGCGGGCGACGCGGGTTTCTGTCAACCGGGAGGCCAGCACAAACCGTGACCGTTCCAGCTCTTCGTCATGACACGGTGTTGCAGAGAGCAGGGTAAAATACAGCTACACGGATCACCGAAGCAAACGACTGCTATCTTAAACCTTGGCTTCTGATTGCGTCTTTGTAGTAGATCATATTATTCGTTTTGCTGGAGAGACGCAAACGACGGGCATAACAAAATCGCTTGCATATTCCGCATATCTCACAAAAGCATTTACCCTGTCACCTTGCGAAAAGCGCGAAACACGGAGTCCGCACCGTCCTAAGCTTCCCGTTTTTTACCTGCTTTAGAGCAGTTTGTACCTGCTAGTAGATATGCCTACTGAAACTGAAACAGGGCAGTGCCAGAGAGAAAGAGAAAAAGTTGAGAAAGCTTGCTCGCTCTCTAATTTCTCAACTCTCAAGTGATTGTACCATAATAAATGCACCAACGCGTCTTCCAAAATAAAGAAAGAGCACTACGTTCACAACATAAAAAATGGTCTCAGTACATGCATCTGTGGGCAGGTAGGAAACCTTGCCCTTATTTATTCACGCCGCATGATTGCCGCAACAAACTCGTTGCAGGACCGAATCATACTCGAGCGGTGTGCGTCGCTATGCAAACGCAGTCCAACACGAAGCATAAAAAACGGCAGATTTAAGACCACAATCCGGAGTCCATTATTTAATTAAAACAACGTAATTTTGTTGAAAACGCCCGCGGCTTCTTACTCACGGTACGTGTCAGGATACTTCCACAGTTTGAAACGGAACGAAGGAAGATTTACTTTTAAAAACGCTCGCTGCGTCCTCCTGGACCAGCTGGACCGGATCAGCTGACGACGACGGGACTGTACCCGTTGAACCTCCACCACGCAACAAACAATTTGCGCTCCGTGTTAAAAACGTGGTTCAAACAGACCCGGAATACAAAGCACCGCACCACACACGACGAATGTTTCAGCTCTTTTTCGCATCGCCGGGTTGCACCAAACAGAACGAGATCGCCGAAGTCAACGCCGCGCTGTCGTGAACCTTGGCTTGTGGTTGCGAACTCGTGGACCCTGTGACTCCCTTCGCTTTCAAAGCACACACGACGATTACGAATGCTACTTTCCGTCTTCCAGGAACATCACAGGGGCACTTCTCCGGTCACGTCTTCACTGTGTGCTCGCAAACTCCGAAGCTCTATGCGAAGCTTCTCGCGTCCCGTCAAACCAAAACAGTAACGGCGCCATGCGTACTTGCCAGATTTTCTCCGGTCAAAGAAAAAGAACGAAAGCCAACCGGCGCTTGCTTCCAGCGTACATCGGCGTTGCGTTTGCGCCGTGGCCAGATCGCCAGATCGCTTGCAGTTGAAGCAAGTTGGTTGAAGGTTGAAGCAAAAACGAAACCAACTGCAATGTCACGTGTTCACATCGAGGACACGCTTTTTATATCCATTTTAACTGTTTGGAACGAATAATTAGACCCATAACTTTATTTGTGGTGTCTAAGAAACTGTTATCAGGACCCCTAAACTAAATACAAACATGGGCGACATGAAGCAAGCCGCATTGCCATCGACCAGAAGATGGCGGCGAGCCCGGTAAGCGTGGGTTTCGCCAACGTCCTGCGGGTGCATATCTGTCTCCGAGACATGTTTCTTTCCGCGGCATTTGTCTCGACGGTCCTTTCTAAGTGTGTCCCCAAGCATTCCGGTGCTTCGATAGCCGGCAATGCCGCGGTCGTCGCCGGGGGCGATGCGTGTTTTCGAGGTCGGCTACACGGTTATGCGTGTATGACCGAACCAAAACACGTTTTTTACAACCTCGCATGATTTCTGAACGAATTATCCGTTACTCATCGTGTAAATTTATGGTAATTTGTGTAAATGGCGTGTTTTTCACCCCAAATATTCGCCAAATACACGGGACTTGCTAACAGTGCAGAGGAGCGGGGACGGCAGCGGCGGGGGCGGCGCGGAAACGGTGGCAGGGACTGTCGGCCGTGATGCCTGAAGCCGTTTTAACGAAAAAAGTGAGCGCGTTAAAAAAGGAAGTCTTGTGCTCCGGCTTGCAACAGCCTTCCACGAAGGACTGGTATGTCTAATTTCATTAGGGACTTTTCGTGTATCGCATACGCTGCGGATTTTTGGTCTTGTGCATGACCGCCAGCTCAATCTGTACTCAACGTGATGGAAAACGTTCCCGCTAATAATGAAGAACTCTAGTACGGTCTACGAGCAGTCTATTCTTTGTCATGAGTAGGAGAAAACTCGTCGTGCAACGGTATGTCGAGCAATGAAAATCGGGAATGGGTTCGGCGTTTTAAAGCCGTTACAAGGAACATGACCATTTATTCCCAGCACTTTCAAAAGACAGAATACCCGCACTTGCTTTCAGGTAATTACCAAGCAAATAAAGAAATGCTCGAAGCATTTTAAGTGCGTCTTTGTTAGCTAGCCGTTCGTGACGAGAGCTTAGAACGCGCAGTTTTGGCCAGAGGGACCGCAATGTTGCAAATAACACGATACGAAAAAATGTACGGTATATTAAAATATTTATTTTTGATAGAGCAATAAATAAAACCCCTAAACACGCCGATTATGTTGATACGCAGTTTTTGCAAAGCGCACGACACCCCTAAACTTCAGTTGAACGTACAGCGTACTGACGTTTCAACCGGCGCTACCAACTTTCACGAGTGGCTTGACAGCCGAGTTGTGCAACTTATTAGAATAGCTTAAATAAGTGGAAATGACTGTAAAAAAGAAAAAAAAAAAACGGGTTTTCTGGGCTTTACTGCAAAACCTCGGCGTTTTTTTTTTTTTTTTTTTGGTAGTCTTTGATGCGTAGTTTAGCTATTTAATATCTTAAATCAAGCTTCTCGTAAAAGCTGGGGCCGTCAGTTTGACGTCAGGGCTGCACAGCGACCTAAGTTTTGGAGTGTCGTATATGTGAAAAAAAAGTGTAAGGATTACAACATTTGTTTCTCTTTAGAGTGATGAGCACGGTAACGCTCCTGAAGCGCACTGAAAATTATGCTTCAGAGGCGCAGCGCGAGCCTGTGGTTGTAATGGTACACCGCACGGTAGCCTGCGGTAACAAACCTTTTATCAATAACCATAGAGCAGTTTGATTACGTGTTGCAATACACTAAAACCGAGACGGCGAGCAGCGGTTTGAGAGGCTGTGACGCGAAGACACCAATACTGTGTATTGCTGCTCTTCCGAAGCTTGACGGTCACCGTTCGCGGCTCTCTTTTTGGAGTACTAATGGTCAGGCAAAGCGCAAACATATCTTCATCACCCTCAAGAATATTCTGCCTCGAACAGTAACGTGGCGGGTGCCTAAAACGCGCTCGCTCACCACAAAGCTTTGCAATTTGAGGTTTCTGCAACTTTTAAATAACAACATGCTCGTCCTCGTAACGTGCATTAGCATCTTTGTCACCTGTAATATGATCCCTCCCTAACCGCTTCGCATTTGTAGACAAATGAATCATTTCTAGCGCGCTGAACAGCGTCAGCGAGCAGGCGCACGGGATATCCTGGAAAATCTATCCCCGTCTCTTCCGCCATCTTGGAACTACCGTCCCGCCACCTATAGGGCGTTGGAGTTGCGAATAATTGATTCACGAGAGCTACTCAGTCACATCTACTTGCACGTTCCTCGTAGGTCTTGTAGACTTTATACTTTGTTTTACAATAGCAATTTTGACCATGCTGCACCCATGACACGCCTACAACTGACGTATAACCATTGGAACAGATTTGTGGGAGTGTTAGTCATGATATTATTGGTGAAGAGCTTAGGTTTCGAAAGTGTGTTGAGGCTATTGTTGTCCTAACATTTCATTTTTATCATGTTTAAAATTTTACTGCTAATTGACTCATTGATACGTGCAGCACTAAGGAGGCGTTAAGCTGTTAGTGGTTCACTCAAAATAAAATAAACAAATAAATAAGAACTTGTATAATTTATGTAAGGAGTATAAGTTGTCGTATGTTCCTATATGTTTAATGAAGGCATTGATATATATATATATATATATATATATATATATATATATATATATATATATATATATATTTCTGTTTTGCTTTGTTAGGGAAGTTCTTTGAGCCGTGGATTTTCTCTCATAGCAGCAATCATGTCATCGAAAATACTAGCACAGCAAAATATGTCACTATGGAAACCTCAGTTTAAGCGGTATCCGTTGTGTAAAGCCGAACTGTTCGTGTAAAACGCCGAATACAAAAATAAAACAGCTGATGCTGTCATTGAACTCACTGTGTCCACCCAGTGCCTAGTACTTTCAAAAACCTTTTGGAGTGACCACCATCAGAGTGTCGTTCGTTCAGAATGTGGTATTTTATTCTTCCTATCTCGGTGAACGAATATTAAGTATGTAAAATAAAATGAGATAATCGGCAAACGTGCGGGCCCTTGGCGGGGTCTGCACGCGCTGTCAGCATCGGCGCTCAGTCGGTCATGGCGGGGTTGGTGTAGCTGAAGCCCTTGAACTGCTCCTGGTCCATGGACGCCAAGATCTGCGGGTCGACGGGAGTCAGCACGGGCTTCTCCATGGTGAAGTCGCTGTCGAAGTTGCTCACGTCCGCTGTGCTTTTCTGCGTGCGGAACGATTTCGTAACGGTTGGGTAAGGATATCTAACGTATCTTGTTACACCGCGATGCACACGCATGCGATCCAAACGCACAAGAAAATACTATTGATGGAAAGCGATTTGGTATAATTGAGATTTTAAGTTGACATGGAATGCCAGCTTGAGCACATTATTATATTCGTCGTATACTAAGTGTTAGTTATGCTGGTGGAACCTTAAGAACCAAATACTGCAAACGCAAAGAAGAGAATCGAAGCAGCGACACCAATAAAAATAAACACCCATACTTGGATGGTGGGATTCTCATCCCCGTTTCTTAGGTGAAACTATTTAAAACTTGGTATTTTGCTTCTCTTCCGGCACAACGGAGTAGAAAATACAAACCGAGCATAAAAAGTTGCAAAGCACAAGGGTCTGAACAATCTACAATTGGAACCACTGGATACGCATGTGGAGGCCTCATCTTGAGGATATCAAAAAGTCTACCACATATTATCATCGGAATTCAAGTTCACCAAACATGGCCTACGACTAAGAGATAACACGGGTACCACTGTCAATGGTGCGTGTAAGGTAAAACCAAAAATGTTAGTAAAGAAAATAGGCCCGACAGAGCCAGCTCATACTAATTTAAACTAAAAGTTCAAGATATGTAATGAATTAGACTTGAAGTCACGAAATATCCCGCATTTAATAGGGTAAAAGCTTACGAAAATAATACACTCAATACTAAAACACACCCTCAGGAGCACTAGATGATTTCCGCTTTTTTGTGAACATTGCGAATTTCTAGATAATATAAAGTCGCGCTTAATAAAGTGCACAATATCCTTTCGCCCGTCAAAACAACCCGAGGCAGAGCACAATTGCACTCCACCAGGATCCCCCCACCATTGGATTGCATACAATAAGGGTTGCATTCTAAAACAACATCTGTCGCTAACACAACCAAATCGCTGCGCCCACGAACCACGGGTGCTTAAACTGACGCAACGCGACGCAAATGAGCGAGCGAACTTATCTGTGACAACATAAAACACATTACTCCACGACCCTCAACGTATCTATGTAGCAACTCTCCCCGTCTACTGTCACGAGGCATACCTGATTCCCAACACATCCCTATCTCTCCAGGTACCTTTCACGTGTTGCGTTTCTCTACATAGTGGGTGAGTGACATGTTTGCCTGGACCAACTGTCATTTAGTGGTTCCGAGTGGAACCATGCACTAGATGAGCTACACTTCAGCAGAGTAAACGACGCATGAGCCATATTGGTGCCTGAAATCATTCTTGCCAGTTCTTAATCCGAAAGCATTATATGCCCCGTTACGCGAAAATCCGGCATCGCCGTCGGCGTGACCAAGCGATGGCACCAAAAATGGCCGACGGCGCGAAGAGTGAAAACACGTCCAAAATGCTCGGATTGACGTCAAATTTCTCAGGAAGTTCCTCTAAACAAAGTAAATGAATGGCTTTGAAAACAAAAATTTCCGAGTACATCTAAGCACTTGTTATGAGTTGTGAATGCGAAAGCATAAATGTCGTTCTTCCGGTTCCTTAGTTCATCTGTGGTGTACTGGCGTGGAAGGCCATGTTTCGCTACCGCCGAGGTTGCGGCCGCCGACATTATAGATGCCTCAGGCGCCGCCATGTTCCTTGGCGCCGAGAAGAGCAGCCCTCCACTCCCCCTCCGACAACGCCTGACACGAGAGCGGCGGCCGAGCGCGCCCTCTCGTGAAACGGCTGCGAGAGCGCACACTTCACGAGAGAGTAATTCAAATATTGAATTACATCCTCTTATTTGATTGATTTTTTTCTTTCCATGCAGCAAAATGTTTTGATTGATTGCAGATATTCGGTATTAAGGCCATTTGCTACTACTTCTAAGTCTTGTTCTGGTTCAAAGTTTGTCTAGATTGTGTCCTTAATGTTTTTTTTTGTTTTTTGTTGGTCCTAACAGTTGTTTCACTAAGGTCCAGCACTGTGCAGTATCCCTTGTCTCAGAAAACGTAGTCCAAAAAAAGTTAATTTTGTGGATCTTATCAGCGCTGTAACTTGGTTCCTAATTTTTCTGTGTATTTTTATATTTGTCATTATTACTACGAGGTGAAGTAATTGCCAAGCTTTCCTTTTTTCTTTAATCAAGTCTTCAATTTCTTTAGTCACAACTGGTTTTCTTGGTTACGCTTTTTTGTGCTACATATTTGAGTATATTTTGCATTAAATATCTGTGAATATGTTAACAAAATTATTGCGCAATTTTTCTGGGTTTTGTTCATTAGCAACTTCGTTCCAGTCTATACCTCCGATATATCGATCCACTTTCCTATTGTTATTAAATGAGCGATCAATCTTTTTAGTTTTGGCATCTTTAAAAAAAATCGGCAATGGTTCCTGCTACGAAGTAATGATCAACTACTTTTTCGGAAATGACCGGCCCAACTGAAAGGCAATGCCTATATTGACTTCTCACTTCTGTGCAACCCTTTGTTAGCATCAATTGCACAGCTGGAGCGATTCCCCCAAACGCACAAAAAATAGCGTTTAGTTGCGTGGAGAAGCACGAGACAAGAAGGTGACTATTGAAGGACAGCACGAACTGCTGTGAATGGTTATATTAGGTACAGAATCCCACTGGAATAATACAATGATATTAAGCGCATAAATTACTCTTACCCTCAAGTTATAGAGGCTGCACTAAAACTGTAGATTTTAATTCAGATAAAAAACAAAGCACTTGCCATTTGATTATGAACGTCAATTACATTTTATGTGTAGAACTTCATAAGAAAAACTGCACGTAAACGAAACTTAAAAGCACTCTCGCCGAACTCGTGAAGGTTCTTCCCAAGGTTGCGGCCACTGCCCCGCCAATTTAGTTAGAATGTACTCACATTTGCATAAAAGTGATAGCTAAACAAATGAGTTGGCATAAATAAATAAACATACAAAAGAATTCATAGAAATGTTCTTGCGATACCGAAGCATCCCCGCTTAATCTCGAATTGGAAAATGGTACCACCAGGATATCGCAGTCTATCATACATACGAGCCAAAGATGTATACAGCAATTGTGTCGCGTCTGGAGAAGAGCTTCCCCTTAGCACGCGGGTGCACTGCGGCGAGGAAAGACACAAAAAATCGCGATGCCTACTTACGTAATCTGTAAAACGATGGGTTTTTGAAATTGATCAGAATTTTAATTATTATTTTTTTTGTAGGACATTTGTTTGTAGTGTGTATATATGAACTTCTATATTGCTACGTAAAAAAGAAAAACACAAAGTTTCTCCACTAAAGAAAGTTGATAGTCAGCTGGTTTCTTCTCTGCTTTTAATTCTTCCCTCCTTTCTCCACACATGCTCAAGCTGACCAATACGCGGTTTTCTGCTTTTCTGCAGTACACTAGTGCGCGAGAATAACCCTCCAGCAGCACGGACGACGAACAAGAGAATTATGGCAAAACTTCAGAGTACTGTCAGTCTTTCATACAGGATTCGATCGAATACTACGTTATTTGAGACGATAATCAAAAGTTCTGAAAATTTCCACGAGCATATCGTGACGGTTTAGCCGGGCAGCGAAGCCTGAGCCATTATATATTCAGTATTATTAAAGTGAAACTCCGTTTTGGCGCAAGGTAGGCGCAAATTCCTCACATTTTGGTCAACTGTAGCAGGATGTAGCAGGGTGAGCGCTCTTCCGCAGTTTGGCTCAAGTGGCACAGCAATCACATCACTGGCCCCATTACATGCTCACGACCGAAACTCGAGGAAACTTTTGTCACACTCGCGGGCGTGGAAGGAGAGCGCACGCACCGTGCGCTCTCCTTCCACGTTCTGACCCACTCCATCATTTCCCAATTCCGCACCCTGACTGGAGGAATTCCGCGACAAAGAACTCTCGATCAACCCTTTTCAACCGCGTCCCCTTCGAAAAAAAGAAAAAGTTATTTTGTTTTGCAGTTTGCTACCTCGCACGACAGCGAGTTTTTCTGGCCCACAATGCTCATCGTGTCTCGAGTTCCTGGGCCGCGCGCAGCGCATCAGCGATCACGGAACGCAGACAGGCCAACCAGTGGTGATGAAACAGAAGCGAGGCACCTTTCCAAAATTCGTCCAGGCATGCCCGTCGTGAAAGCGAGCCGTTGTAATGCTCCGGGGCGTCCACGCAATACCTCCTAGAAAACAAGGCCCGCGTGTGACGTCATTGTCGGTGGACCCCCGTCCCGCCCCAAGTGGCAAAACACGCTGAAGCTCCGCGACGATGCCGACGCAAGCTACGGACGGCGCTACGGGGATCCACTTGCGATAACGTTCTGGGGCAGGCCTTGTCTTCCAGGTGGTGTTGGGCTGCGCCGTGTGCCCTCCGGGGGGGAGGGGCTAAAAATACGCGACCGTTGGCAGGCAATCTGTCGAGGCACTGCAGCGGCACTTAGCGCGCGGCCGCATATTTCGTCCCCGAAGGAACCGGGCCCCAAAGTGCAACGACTGCATGCATCACCACCGGAGTCATCGTCACGCTAATCGATCTGGCGCTTGCAGTGTCTGTCCTCTAGAGCTACCAACTAGGATACGCTTCAAAAGTATCGATACATCAGCCACCATGGTGCTTAGGTCAAAGCTGCCAGTTGTCTCCGAAGCACCGTCTGAAACCGCGGGAAACGCTTTTCCGTCCTCCAGAAATGTTAAAACAGTCCCGCCACAGGGCAAAACGATATCGTCCAGGCGTCGGGACACCATATCCGAAGCTCAGCGACTCGACTTCTCAAATCCTACCGATCGCCGATTCCCGACTTTCACGACCTAGAGGGGGCGTACTGGCGCCTATCAAAATCGCTGTCATCGGGATGATCGTCGTAGAACTACAGTGTACTAGAATACTTGGTAGTAGAACATCAGTGCGAGGCTGGGTCTGCTTCGTGTAAGGTATTCTAGTTTTGCTATAAACGAGCAGCATTCGAGCCTTATTATATTTTTCCTCATCAGGAAGTTGTGGACAAGCAGCTTGATCGTAAAGCCGACCATCCAGGAGCTGACTAGGAAGCGCGATTCTCCCACCGCGGTACCCCCCTCGGTGAAAATTGTGCACTACGCTCGCTCTGCACTAAAGCAGCAACATGGCGGTGCCCACAGGGAAATCGGAGAAATCAAGTGCTCATACTCTATACTCGTCTTCGCCCCAAGAATCGAAGTAAAGAATTTAAAAAATCCTGGTTTTTGTTAAACATTACTAATTTCCCCCTTTATGCGGAGGGTTAAGATATGCGTAGGTGCATTTTAGATTACATATATGTTTTCTTATCAAGACGTACACGTTTCAAATGCCAACGGCACCACTTCTTCCTCACTTCCCGTGGCGTATGAACAATGCGCAAAACACACTTTTTTTTTAAGTATTAATATTTTTTTTAAGTATTAATATTTTTAAAGTATTAATAAGCAAAACGAGTAGAGGCGTAGCTCATTTGGCGGCACTAGTACGAGCACACCGTAAAAGTGAGAAGGAAAGCTTAAAGACCGACGACCAGTTCGCGCTTTCCCCTTTTCCCTTGCTTCCTCCTCTCCCCCTTCTACCCTGCCCACCGTTGCCTGTTTCCCCCTCCCCCATGGTGAGGAAAATCTTCTGCCTTGCAGAATCTCGAGTCTGATCGCCCACCTTTAAGCGAAATCACGATTTCGAAGTGTTTGAAATTACTGCCATCAGGTCGGGGTTTTAGTAACTATAACTCGGCTACCTTTGCGGAGCAGCTTGGTAACAGTTCACTTAGAAGTTAATTCCCGTAAATGCGTCGCCAAATAGTGAAAATCAGTTTGATGTGGCCGCCCCAACGTAGACGCTACGCATTCCGTTTAAGAAAGCGAAATAAGAACTTACCGAAGACAGTTAAGACTACTTACGTGTAGGAATGCGAGAACATTCTTACACGCGGCGCATTCTTACAAGCAGCGCGCCACGTCTTTCTTTAGACAACGGCGCTCCGGCGGTGACATCACACTCCACTTCGCAGGCGCGGCGAACTCCGCCGGCCTCACGACGGCTTCCCTGACAAAGCATCTGCGTTGCTGCGGTTTTCTTTTGTGTTTTATTTCTGAGGCGCTTCCGCTTTGACCTTAAGCGCCCCGCCGGCTACTGTGACGAAGCATCTGCGTGGCTGTGCTTTTCTTTGTGTTTTATTTCTGAGGCACGTGCTTGATGACGTAGTTTTATGATCATCTTTCGGGGACAACGCCGACGGTTTTTGGCGTAATGGGACAAGTAATGCTTTCGCGTTAATAATCTTGTTTATCACCGCGCTGCAGAGTATTGCACACCGGGAGTGGCGGCGGTTTCGCAGCGCAGCTTCAGGGCGCGGCTCAGAAGAGAAAGAACGAGGCGACGGGCAACCGACGTACCAGTTTTGGTTTGAAAGGCGGCTCCACTTCCTTCTTCTCGAGCTTCTCCCAGTTGATGGGCCGGAAGAAGGGCTGGTCGCACACGTCCCCCGCCGAGCAGCCGGCCATGCCCAGGCGCTTCTCGGGGTTCTTGTCCAACAGCTGGAAGAGCCGGGCACACGAGTCTTGAGGACACACTGCCCGTATGCATCGTACAAAAGATACGGCGCTCGTAGCAGACATACGGCGGCAGATTTATTTGCGGACACCCCCGAAGCATTTGCCGAAGCAGACGTGCGTATGCTTTGAATATGTCTGCAGACGGTTCTTTTATGACCGATGTGACGTCATACAAACACGACCCAGACAGTGTCCGCGAATTGTCTTTCGTGCGATGGGTTCCCGTTGATGTTTTCGTAGTCTTGTTTTTATTGTCCCGCAACGCCCTTCGCATCCCGGAACGAGATACACGACTCAACAGTTCCAAGCTTGCGGCGCTCATGCGCAGTAGCGGGGACTACTTTGCGGAGTACGTGGCGGCGGAGACAGTAAAGCGGTCTACGAAAACTCTTTTTTGACGGAGTTCTCCAAAAGGAACGCAGCCCTTTGCAGCGATCGGGATTCAACTGTCACGGCCTTAACGGCCAAGTTCAGAACTATCACCTCATGGGAACAACGACACAAAATATTCGTTCGTGTTTCTGACGCGGCGTGAGCGTGCTCGTGTTCAATCGGGAAAGCACAAACGAATCGGGGCTTCCGGCTGAAGAACATGTTTCGGTTAAGACAAACGCAAACACATCAAGGGTAGCCTTACCGTATGTGCGTAGCTTAGCCTCACCGTATGTACGGTAAGGCCACGCTAAATTACCTTGTGACTATATTTCAATTTTCATCGCGTGCTTTGGTGCCTACTTCTACGACTTTGACTTTAGACCACCAGGTGTCGTGAAAATTTGATTAGCTCGAAAAAGCTAGCGATCAAACTTTCCGTGACATCTTTCTGTACTATAGGGTGCCGTCGATTTCACAGAAGTCACCAATAGCGTAACCGACTGTCCTTCCTTTTGACTTATATGAACACGCTCGCCTTATTACTACCTGCTATGTTATGGAAACTCTTGGACAGCCCATGAAAAAGAAGGAACCGCGTACCAGGACCAGCATGGACTTGGCCTCCCTGCTGAGAAACCTGGGGTAGTAGGCTTCCTCGTTGCAGACGGACCAGAAGAGCTCGTCTTCGTCGGTGCCGTTGAACGGGGACTGCCCTATGAGCATCTCGTACGTGAGGATGCCGAAGGACCACCAGTCCACCGACTGGTTGTAGTGCAGGCCCCGGATGATCTGGGAGATCGGGAGCGGGGGGGAGTCACACGTGCACCCTTGCACCGTTGATGCGCTTCATGCATTAGGACTACAAAGTACTTTGTCTAAAGCTAAGTTTAGTTCACACTTGAAAGGTGAGAGTGAATGTTCCAGCCAGCTGGTGAAAATATTTTAAAAAAAACTAAACATGAAACACAAAAGTATAAATAACATATACACACACACACACACGCGCGCACACATACGCACACACGCACGTCGTGACATGAAAAGTCTTGTTGCGATGTGGCTTGGAGTGTCTGACGTCATCCTGTCTATTCGCAACTTCAACGGAGCCAAATCCATTCCTCTGTTTCACTATTCGGAACTCAAGTCGTGCCAGGTTTTGTTGCACTCTTGAACAGGCGGCAGCACCCTGCTTTTCTCCTTTACGTCTTTTCCGCCGGGTGGCGGCGTATTCCCTCGAGTCGCGAATAGGAAGTATTCCCTGGCGGCCATAGCTGTGTGCGCGACTGCTGAGCGCGTGCTGATGGCGAGCTTCCACAGTTTTTTTGGAACGTGCATTCCGCACCCTCAAGATGCCGGTCGTAGCAGCCTATTAATGTGGGCTCCTTCTGAGCATGCGCTCTAGACAGCACCCACAAATATGGCGCCCAGTGAATACTCCTTATAGCAGGGGTCGTTTTACGCAGCAATCGTGTTCGACGATGCAGCAGACGACGCGGGACTAAGACCGCCATAATATGGCTTGAGGAGGAGCTGCCTATCGGGGTCACGTGGTCTATGGGAATCATCCGTAATACAAGCTGCGAAGAGGAGGCCAGAGCGTCGATGGTCTACAAGCGTGTCCAACCTCTGCTCAGCCACTCAGCCCGCTCCCTTCCTCCCGAAGCGGCGACTCGCGCATGCACTCGATCGCCCAATTTGCGAACGAGGCGTCGGCCATTGTATTGCGAACGCTCTCCATGGTTCGAGTTGCTCCCTCTCTTACATCTAAGCTCTCTAGCCCCGCCTCGTCACATTCGGTCCTGGGAGAGGCTCTCACAGCCCCCAGCTTCTGCAGTGTGCATCTAAACTAAAAAAAACAACCTCACCGGTGTGCTTCTCCGCAGAGCACACAGAAAACAAATGACTGCTTTCTACTGAAAGGCCCGTGAATTACGAAATGTAGAGAAACACTTTGGGCTAGAAATGTAACCCTTCCCATCCCCCTACCCCAAAGATAAACAAGAAGAAAACAAAAAAACCCGGGCGCCTATTTTGCCGCAACGCACCCGGAAGACCAATCACACTAGACTGCAGAGGGAGCTCAGAAAACGACGAAGCCGAAAAAAAAAGGTGCAGTGATAAATGATGTCCGCGCTACAACACTGAGCACGACGTTTGGCATGCTCAGGTACCAAGGAACCCGAGCCTCTGAGTCAGAGCCCTGGAGAAGGAAACGTCGGCTCCCGCATTCTGAAGTCTCCAAGACGTCCCTTTCTGGTTCTTCCTACCTCATCCACCTTCGCGGTTTGCTGAACGTAGGCTCGGGTCATGCTTAGTGTCAATACGCTGCCTGGAAGGCGTCTCCGACTGGTGGGGTTACCACGTCCCCGAATGTGGTCACTCGGTTTCCACCTGACAACGTCATGAAGTGTTACACTGTTTGTTGCTTGCCGTGATCCTGACGGTGGTACAGCGGCGGACGTGGATGCGGGCTGGGGCCCTATGTTGCGCTCTTAGGACTCCCACGGTGACTAGGGAGAAGGGAGTGACGTAGGTGCGAATGAACGTATCTTATCTCACAGATTTACGCCCACTTTTTCCTTGTTTTCTTCTGCAGAAATTCGTCATCAGCGACCCCACCAATGAACATACAAAGAGAGTTGTTGACGTCACTTCCCTCTTCCTGGTCGCCCTGGGAGTCCAAAAAGCGCACCAAAGGGAATCAGGGGGGCTATGTTGCGCTTTTTGCACTCCCAGGAGACTAGGGAGAGGGAAGTGACGTCAACAACGCAGCAAATGCAGATTGGATGTTGGTTTTGTTTTCTTCTGTCAACATCCAATCTGCATTTGCTTTAGTCGTTGACGTCACTTCCCTCTTCCAAGTCTCCTGGGAGTGCAAAAAGCGCGACATAGCACCCCTGGTCTACGGCTTGTGGCTCTCCAGCCTGGGAATCCACGGACGCTTCAGCAGGCAGGTGTTAGGACACCGTGACGACAGTGACACTCCCGTTCAATCGCACGCTTTGCCGGAACTTGCACAACCAGCAGCCAGGATCGCGACACCCAACAGCGTGACATGCCCGGCTTCTATGACGTCATAAATTTCCGCTTCGGGGCACCTATATTGATGCACGGGCGGTATAGGACCCCAAACAAACCAGACGCGTTCCAGGCGCCGCAGTATCGCAGCGCATGATGCACTTTTTTTTGGTCAAAACGTTATGTTCGGCTTCGTGATTCATCGAGCTCCACCCCTGAAGGTCACAGATATTACCCCAGCGACCTTCGACATTGTTTTTAAGAGTCACAAAGACAGTGAATATAACGTTTCGGTACTTCTGTCGGGTTGAGTGTGACAATGTAGAGGAACTGTTTCAAAATCTATAACTTGTAAATGTATAGTCGCTCAACTTCTTCGGTAGATAGCACGGCTAGTCCCGCGTGTGATTTGCGTGAAAATATCGGTGGCGCCATTTTCTCGATCTCCCGCTAAAACTTGCTGTCTAATCTCACGCACTTGTCTTCGGTCCGAACTAGGGCACATTGTCGTGTACCCAAACTACAGGTTCGGGTGACAAAAGGAACCCTTTTACACGCGTAAGGCGGGAGCTGGCACGCCTAAGAGAAGGAGCTCCCCTTACGCATTTTATTTTAAAGCCTAAGCTCGAACGTGATACGTGGGAAGCTTCCGCTCTCACTGCTTTAGCTAATTAGTTATTTTTGAGGGGTTTTCGCAGGTTGCGGAAGAAAGGGAGCGGCGCCAGAAAAAAAAAAAATGGAGGGAGGCATTCTAAAGTCGGGGGAATCCAGAACAGCTATTCCAAGAGCGACGCGTTGATGGAATGCTTCGCTTAAAATAAGAGTAACAAAAAAGAAACTTGAAGTAGGGCGAACAGATGTGTGTCACTGTGGAACTGTAATAAGCTACAAGAGCTCTTCTCCACGAAGCCACCATCGCAACAAAACATTCCGAGAAGCGCCTATGACGCAATGGTCATAAGGAGGGATCATTGTGCAACGCAAAAGTTTGCTTTACTTCTTTAAATGTCGCCGATGTCAAAGTTGATATAAGCCTGGGCTAGTTGGTATGGCGTAACTGAAAGGGATGACAGTGCCAAGAGGCCATCAGAGGAGGAACTGGGAAAGCTTGTCCGGTCAATTGTACTTGTCTGTTGTTCCTTAGCGCTGCTAAGCCTGGTTTACATATTTGCGTCTGAGTTGCTACCGCTTATGACTGTTCACTACGAAGTAAAATACTGGCGCCATGTATCGGGTAGCGCACTTGCGACCTGCGAACACTTGTTTTAATTTTTTTAGACATTTTTGTTTTACTACGGGCTTCAAACAATTTTGACGATGTTATAAGCGACCATTTCCCATTGATATTGCGTAGATTTGATTTCGCGAATATTCCTAAACGCTTAGTCTAGCTATACCCAGATTGCAAGTGCTTCAGGGCCCTCCGATAGATGGCGCCACACAGTTGGTGACCAACGATTGTCGGTCACACTCGAACACAAATGTATAGAAACCAGCTTTTGTCCTTTACGCTTACGCTGACGTCGAGAGTTGTGTCACCAATGACTCTTTCACAACTCAAGCACACACACACACAGATACACACACAAATAAAGACATTCCAGCGTCACTGGGATAATTGTATACAAGAAACTGAACACCATCTCAATTGGCACTAGACATGGTTAGTTCACTCAATTCCCGAAGTCATGCGAAAAGGGTTTGTTAGTTTTAACGCACAGTTAAAGGGAGGAAGGCCATCGGAAACACATGCAAGAGACTCGCGTTGGATGAGTGATGAAAGCGTTTATACGTGGTTGTGTCAAAATCTAAATTTTTAAATTTAGGAATGAAGAAACTTCAAGACGAGTTTTGTAGTGAATATTTTGTCCCCAGAAGAGTTGTGGCGGTGCCCAATTTTGAACGCCGATATTTTCTTTTATATTTTTGTGCCATAAATACAAGGGGGGGATTGGGTGTTTTCAGAAAAAAAAAAAAATTCTTCTTGCGCAGCTCAGCGGAACCGTATCAATTGGTGCTAATTTCAATCAGACAAAAGTTTGGGGTTTATTTTGCAATCGATGTTTCTATTTATCTATTACGCGTGGGAGCCACTGAGGACGTCAGCACTATCCGTGCTCTACTGTCCGTATATGTAGCACTGCACAAACATCGCCAACATCTTCATGATAAACCCATACTTTATTCGAGAAGAACCATTGAAGCTCTTAAAAGCTTCGAAAACATCGTGCAGAGAAGCGAAAAAAATTGCGCCACTCTCAGTGAGGTAACAGAACCAGTGGTTTTGCAGTCGTAAATACAAGCACAGAGAAGTTTAAATCGCAAAAAAAAAAAAGGCGTTCACCAATAGAACCTTTTCCAAATTCCGCGCCATCGCCTTCCGCCATTGCTGGGCAGAACCCATACTCGCTTGAGGCGAAGCATCTACGCATGCGCAGAGCCGACAGCTGTGCCCAGAACGCGTTCTCCGTAAGGTCCCTCGCCACTGTCGCGTCACTCGCACGTCCTGCCGTCATCCTCCTAACCGAAACCTGGCTCATTCCCGGGGTCCACGACAGCGAGCTCTTCGATCCCTCTTACACGGTGTTCCGGAAGGACAGACACGGGCGGGGTGGCGGTGTCCTCATCGTATATAGAGTGACCTCCGTTCCTCATATGTAAAGGCACCTTCGTTGCACAGTCCACGAAGACGAAGACAGCATCGTCTTTGCCTTCTAGAATGGTCTATGGTCACCGACAGATCGCAAATCATCTGGGACTGCTTATCGACGCAATTTACAGAGCGGGCTCGGAGAATGACGGGGCTGATAATCCGCGTAAACAAAAACAAGACACAAAAAAAATTATGTCTGCGCTTTCGCACTGAACGTGACGTTTCGCGGTGGTCAGTGCCAGAACGCAGACCATTTTTGTGGGGATCCAAACATTTTATCATCCACTACTATTCGCCGAGCGCCCTCCAGCAACTGGTTTTGCTAAGTGCTTTGCAGGAGAGCACACGCTTCATATTTCTTAAAGTGCAATAGGCTGATCTATTTACATAAAAGGCCAATGATCGATGCTCTGGATGCCTCGCAGAGCAGTATGCATGCAGGCATTTCTGAGAGTGTTGTTGGCCACTTCCCGTGCGATACCGCCTGTCCTCCTACCCGGATAAGTTGACAAAGTACAAGTCCAATAACTGGCGTTCCCGGTGCTGCCTCGCGGAGCGGTATACGCATGCAGGCATTTCTGAGAGGTTCGGCGATGTCATCAAGTGCGGGCGCGTTTGGCGACCCAGGCAGGCCTCACCTCTGGCGCGATGTAGTCTGGCGTGCCACAAAAGGTGGACGTCTTGTCCGTGTCTCCGAGTCCGCACTTGCACATGCCAAAGTCTGCGATTTTCACGTGGCCCTTGCGGTCCAGCAGGACATTGTCCAGCTTCAGGTCTCTGGTTGTTAGACAGGCAAGGGTTAGTGGCAAACTGAACGGCAGCCTCCTACTCTAGCTCTCCGAGTTTGCTTTCCTGTAGAACACGAGAATATAAGAATCCCAGCGTACGAGAAATCTCTTTGATCATACTGCGAGTTTCGTCGTTTTCTGGCATCCGTCTATTGCTCAACGTTGTTCCATGTCTCGTGTTCTCTAAAAAAACAAACTCAAGGACCTTTTTTTTTTTTTTTTTTTTTTTTTCTACGGTGTGCTGCTACAGGCACAGCTCGCTTTAGTCAAGCAACACGCGTCACACCATGCGGAAGTCTGCGCGTACGAGGCTCGAGAATCCCTTGACAAAACGTAGGGTAAGCATGTATCCCGGGTTTAAATGCTCGTATAGCTTCAGAGCAGCACTGTCCTTAGCTTGACCTAATTCATTCTTTTATTAGATCTGTCTGGAAGTGATCAGCTGCGATTCAAGTACTTAATGTTTCTTTTTGCATTCTCCACTGTCAGTCAAATTCTCTGACCTTACTGCATAGAAATAGGTTCCATGTTCTGTCGTTGAGAGCAAGTTTACGTCGTTTTTAATTAAAATTTTCATGTAAATATAACTAAACTTTAATGCGCCTGTGAGCTTACTTTTTGGCTGCTTAATTTGTCCAGCGCTAGTTTTTTCATTAATGTTTCAACCAGTTAAATACTAAGAAAAGAATTCATCCGCGTATACACTAAGGTGCGATAGTTTCACGATTTGTTGGTTGGGAAACCACGTTACCAATGATAAATACAAGCAACACTTCCAGATACTATGAGCGTACTGGTCTTTCTAAAGTCAGTACCTAAATTTTACCCCTAAAAACAAACCTGGAGCTCGTGTCGAAAAAAAAAAGAAGAAACAAGATATGGAAAATAACTGTTATTGCTACATTACATGTAATATAGGACATGCGGTCATTGTTATTTTTTAAGTAAAACTTTTTTCTGATTATTGTTTTAGCGTCAGGTCAGTATTGAAGAGTGCCGTTTTTACTGTCATTTCTCCTCTAAATTTTCCGCGCCACTAGGCGATGGAGAAATCCCCCCCCCCCCCCCTTCCCCCAAATTAGAGATTTCAGGAGCACGCGCAAACTTCAGCCGTGAATGTTGTAAATTCTAAGCATAACCGACAGCCCGTTCAAACGGGACCATAATACCTTGCAGCTTAAGAAGCGCGAGGCGTCGTTTATTATGTTCACACCTCGTAATTGCTTTTTCGGTGTCCTTATTGGCTAACGCAGATAAGCCAATAAGATATGTTCGGGATTCGGCACACCTCGCATTTCTTAGGCGGTCACTGGGTGTACAAAAGAACACGAAATGTTCGGTTAGAGCAAAGTAAAATATTTATAACACACACAAATCAAAGTTACTCCGGTTAGAAATGTCTGTTACCTCTGGACGGCGTCGATTGTGCATCAGACACCATGCGTATTTGGTGACTATAAAAAGTTAGGTAGTTTGATACCGAACTAAAGCAAAAGTAAAACATCTAGGGTTTTACTTGCGGTGGGGTACGCATTTCGCACACCGAGATTTGATCAGTTTTTTTTTTGCTTTTTAATGCCATGTTTTTGTTTTCTACATGCTACATGTTACGTGAGAGTGGTCACTGACAACCTAAGAAACGTATAGCGTGGCTTCATATCATCCACGCTTGGTGCTACATGATTCTTCTTCCGGCGTTCTTATTGGCTGATGCAGCTGCCGGAGCGAAAATAGGGAGTTTTAGTCAATCGTTCCGATGCCTCCGAGAACCGCACCCGATAACGGTACGATGCACATGTCAAAGGCATCGGCCGAGTATCGTTATCGGAGATAATGAAACGATCTGCTAACATTCCATAAATAGGACAGTAGGGACTCGAAGCGGCCTTACGTTTCTTACGTTGGCAGTGACCCTCTATGTCGAACGTGCACCTTTTTGTTGTTGTTGTTGTTGTTGTTGTTCTCACCAACATGCAGCGTCATTACTACTCACGCCGAGAGTGTTAAAGGTTCACACAAGATGACCGGACCCCGTGAAAATCGCAGATGTAAACGTCGCACTTGAAGTTGGTGGTGGCACGTATACGGATTCGGTGACGTCCTCTTGCAGAGGATCGAGTCTCAAAGATTCTTCGCACACATTTACGCAAAATATCTAAAACCCAATGCGCTAAAAAAAAAAAAAAAATCGGACGTTGAGCGATTTTTTGCGCGCTCAAGCTGAATTTTGTTGTCGCCATAAATTAAACGTAACAATATGCGCGCATTTAAAAATAAAAATTCCCGCACTCATATTTTGCTGCGGAGAGCACGCTGGCTGCCCGTAGCCAGAAGTAGCGGAAGTGGAACTCGAAGATGTTTCATGTCGGACGCACGCTGCGAGAAAGAATGCCGCTCTGCCGCAGCAGTACGATTGACGAAGGTAGATGAAAGTTTACTCTGTGAAATTCGGAACGCCTTATTTCCCGCAAAGCTCTAGGCAGAGACAAGCGCTGCAATATTCGGGAAAAACTCGGTCAACGACGCGGCTAAAAATATGTTTAGACTTAAAAATAAAAACGGTCTGTGTCGTGAAATCGATTATGTGCACGCTTACGACATACCCAATGTCGCCGCGCAGTTTTGTTTTGTTTTGTTTTTGTTTTCATGTCTAAATATATTTTGAGCCTAGTCATTCGCTGACTGGAGTGATTAACACTCCAGAGTGTTTTCTGAAAAAAATAGGTGCTCCAGTTTCTGTTGGAGTAGTTGGTTCGCTGTGTAGAAAGCAGGCCAGACGATCGTCGAGCCTAGCAACGAGATACCGGCCGTTAACTAGTACTAAAACCGAGCTATTGGTTGTTATGGTTTGTAAGAGCCCGGCAACTACCACCCTAAAAGTGGGGTGGAAAATGCCGAGCTGGCTGGACCCATCAAATACCTGCTCCACGCCGCATGACTAAGCACACTGCGTGCGAATCACGAGACACGAACGAAAAAAATATATAGCCTGAAAGGAAAAAAAAGAAAGAGAAAAAAGATACTTCTGCCTCATTTCCGTCGATTAAAGAGCAGAACAGAAACGACGACCAGTGACGCATTCGTTGAAATTTAAAAAAAAAGAAAAAGTGTCTGATCCACTCAGTCAGTAAATCACACACATTTATGAAAAAGAAATAACTAAATACAAGGGGTGGGTGATTAATAAGTTTTGTTTCCTAGGCGGTAATTTTTTTTATTCGGCGATGGAATTGAAAGATGCTACATTCGAATGAAAGTTCGGAATTTCCTCTTTCCCACAAGCACATAACTTTTCAATAAAGTCCCCACCGGCGGCGATGCACTTGCGCCACCCGTGCACTGCTCTCCGGATGTGTCGTAGATGATTGAGGGCGGCTGTTGACGACACAGACGGCCTACCGCATTTGGTAACCTCATCGTCGGACGCAAAGTGTGGACCTTTCAGACGTTCCTTGATCTCGAAAAACAGCTGAAAGTTTCATGGTGCGAGGTCCGGGCCGTAAGGTGAATGAGGTAAAACATCGTGGAACACCATCTCGTCCAGCGCGGCGTTGGTCTCGCCAACAGCCGCCCTCATTCATCTCGACGGCATGCGCAAAAGTAGGGCACATGTAGCGGGAGTGCATGGCCGCCGGCGAGGACTATATTTTAAAGTTACGTGCTCCTGGGAAAGAGGAGATTCGAAGCTTTCATTGGACTGTAACATCTTTCAATTCCATCACGGAATAAAAAAAGTTATAGCCTAGGAAGCAAAAGTTATTCGCCAACCGTCGTACTTTGAACGTACGTACATGAAGTCCGAATTTCATCTAGTGCCGCTTTGAGGGGCTGTTATTGCGCGACATACGATATTTTTTCCGCTAAATCTAGCGAACAAATGGTCGCGCGACATACACCCCGTCACCACGTCATGTGACGTAACTTACACCGTGGTGTCGCATGGAAACTGTGAGTCGCGTAATGTCACGGGGCGTCATGTGACCTCGCAGTGTCACGTGACATCGAGTGATACCACGTGATACTGCGACGTGAAGTTACGTGGTGGCGCGACACTGCGGCTTCAAGTTACGTGGCCAAGTGGCAGCGAGACTTTACGTCGCGTGACAACGTAATCCATAGCGGCACCAACCACGTGACCACGTGTCCCATATACTTAGTTGCGCACCAATCTCGTGATCACTTCACGTGACGTCACTTACGTCGTACTGTCACCGGACACTCTGACGTGAAGGTGTGCGGTCATGTAACCCACAGTGGCACCAATCACGTGATCATCGTACGCTCGTACGATGTCATGTTTTCGTTGCAATCCTTCGCGACGATCTAAACGTGAAAACCAGCCCACAAATCATTCTGCTTTAGAGTGACTAAGCAGAAACAACGCTGAAATAAATACAACATCGGAACTTTCCGCGGAGACACTTTACTTCGTTCCAGCTTAAGCCAAGAGGCAGCCGGCGCTACGAGCTAGTGGGACGAATGAAGCAGCTTCAAAAGCGCAAGTCATTTTCTGTTTATGCTTGGTTCAGCGATGATAGGACACGCACGGAAACACGACGAACAGCCTGATCGATGGTGCGCTTTTGACGGACGCTGGCTTTTCCCCCCTTCAGCAGCTAGCAGCGTCGGCTGCGTCTGTAGTTAAGCTGAAACAAAGTATAGAGGCCCGGTCACGCACTTGCGTTTGCTTGCGACCATGCTCTTCGGACCTCTTTCGACGAAAGAGCACACTGGCACGCTGGTGCCATGTATGAGTCGGCCCCGGAACTGCATTTCACTAGAGCAAAGGTTTCGCGGTGTTCGCGAGATCACATGTACACGTACTTTCGTTTAGAACATTTTTGGAAGTTTTTTTTTAAGCCAGAGAAGAAAGAATGATGAAAAAAAATGAAAGACGTTTGCAACACGCTGTAACGCCGTATTAGAGCGCAGCTCTTGAGGAGGAGGAGGGAAGGGTACTGAGGGGAGGATATACCTCTCTTCCCTCCT